CCATGAATCTAGCTACCAATATCCTCCAAGGTGGGCAGGACCCTTAAACCCATGCCTGCAAGAGGAGTTAAGTAAAGAAATTGGGGCTAGTGGGCTAGGTTTGAGTATTGGAGGAAAGGAGAGTCCTTATTGCCCCACCCAGCATGTCCCACTTGGACACGGAATGTGTTAGCAGCTAGCTGTATTTGCTATATAGCACAGGCGCCCTCGGTATACTTGGGTTCTACATTGCTGAAGAAACAGTGGGCTTTGGGGAGATGGCTCAATGAGTGAGGTGCCTGTGTGCAAGCATGAGGACCTGAGTTTGATACTCAGTCCCTTAGTTCTCACACAGAAACCTTGTTTACCCTTCGTCTCTGGGAGTCTTCCTTCACCGCTTTGAACCCCCTCGTCCAGGTTGCTGGCTCAGGATCTCTGTTCCCGCTCTACCCTCCTGTCAGGACTCTCACCCTTCCCGGCTTTCACATGATTGGCACCTCTGTCTCCCTACACTTGATGCTCTCCTCATCCTGAGCTACTCCCCCTCCCCCCCCCATCTCTGGCCTAGTTCCTCCCTGGCATGAGTCATCGTGAGAGACGACGACAAATGTCTATTTGTCTCTTCTTCACGTCTCTGATGTGATGTGGGAAGGGAGGAGCTTCCCCACGTGTCCCCAGTGCTGAGAGCAGTATCAGTGGCAAGACTGTGCTCGCTCACAACTTCACTGGCTGGAAGGCAGCGAGAAGCCCGCTGGGGACAGGTCAGTTCTGGGAATGCAGACACATGAGTTCTCCCACGGCTCATTCAGGGTGAAGGGCTCAGTGTCCAAGTGACAAGACAGAAAGGGGCCAAGGCAGGAGCTGTGCCTGGGGAAGGACAGATAGGGGAAGACACGCATGTCTGATGAGGGGGGAATTGGAAGAGGCTCTGGGTTGTGGCATGGAAGTTGGTGGAAGAGCCTTTTTAGGCCCAAATCAGAGCTCTGTGTGCAGTGTGTGCACAGCCTGTAGCCAGCCCAGCTGAGGGTCACTCTGAGGTCACTGAGTGTGTGTGTGTGTGTGTGTGTGTGTGTACACATGTATGCATACACACACACACACACACACACACACACACACACACACACACACGAGTGTGGATGTGGACGTGAAGGTCAAAGGCTAATTTGTTGAGACAGGGTCTCTCCCTATTGTAGAATTCTTTAGTTAAGCAGGACTGGTTGACTAACAAACTGTACAGAGATCTGGCTATCCCCATCTCTCCAGCACTTTTTTATGTGGGCGCCTGAGACCTGGAACTCAGGCCCTCATGTTTGTGTGGCAAGCGCTTTACCCACAGAGCCGTCGCCCCACCTCCCTCTTGGGAACTTTCATGATGAGCAAATGCTAATTAGCTATGCAGAAATAGCCCAGCCACCTTGCCCTGCTCCAGGAAGAATGGACCTGGGATCCTGGATCAACCATGATGATGGCTGGAGGGTTGGGAAGCCCACAGACCCCATCCAAGAGACTCTTCCATAACTTGGGGAGGCCCTCCTTCTCATTTTGAAGGATGGCAGGGTTTATCCATCTTGAACTACATTAATTACTCCAAGCCAGAGGAACTGCACCAGATCATTTTCCATTTCAGACTCAGATGAAATATTCTGGTAGCTTCAGACAACCAGAGGGGAGTAGCCAAGTACATTATGGGCCACAGAACCATCTATGAGGCGGCAGAGGTCAAGAGCACACCCTTCCTGAATCTTGTTTGTCTGCTTGTTGGCTGCGCTGAGAATAAGTGACAGGATCCTGTCAATGCTTCTTTCTCCATCATGGAAATGGGGCACTTTAAGAAGCGAAAAAGACTGATGTGCAGATGTTAGCATGGGGCCAGCCTCCCTGGGAATGGTCAGCAGAGATGGGCACACAACACAATCCTCCAACTCAGGCTTGTCACAGAGCTGGGGGGTGGAGGAGTGGGGCTGCATGCTGCCCCTGCAAGCTGCTGCTTTTGTCCCTTTAACTCCTGATACCTACTGAGAGGCCTATAGGTGATAAGCAGGGCTGTGTGACCCTGGCTAAGTGGCCTTACCTCTCTGAGCCTCAGTCTTTAGAAAACTGGGCGGAAGCCATATGTCCTGCTTCTATGGCAATGTTTACATGACCTCTGAAGAGGTGCTGAGGGGTTGACCGAGCGCCTTGCAAAAGTGTATGGGGGGCAGGGTTGGTTATCTGATCATAGAGCCAGGATGACCGGCTGTTCCAGATGGATGCTGGACGAGGGACCTTGGCCTCCTTAGAACCCTGCCTCAGGGCGGCAAGCTGAGCAGCCTCGATATCCTCTGACACTTTTTAAAGTGACAGCTCTCAAATGCAGGAGGTACCAAATCTGGGTTTCTGGCTGCCTCCCTTTCTCACCACCTCCTGCGGCCACCTGTCTCCTGGGGTGACAGGGCGGGCTGTTTCTTAGAGTAACATACCACATATGTTCCCCATGGACCTCAGTGATAGAGCAAAAGGCCAAGTCCACTTGTAGGAGGAATGAAGGATGGCAGAGCTGAGACAGGCAGCGCCCTGAACTAGCAACTGGCTAGTTGGCCTTAGGGGTTACTGGTGAGTGTGCCTAGATGTGGGATCCAGGCATGGCACTCTACTGTCTCCCAGATGGCTCAGAGTGGTAACCATTCATCCAGCCTCCAAATTGCCAGTTTTAAAACCCTCACTCCCAAGCAACATCTGGTCAGAGAGGTCACTGGGAGTACAAGATAATCCCCGCCACTGTGTGCATGAGGGTCCCCAGTGGTCTCAGGGATTACAGTGTGAGACTACCCCAAGGACAATGAAATTCTTGGGTTTGATTTCAGCCCCCAAGAGGTGGCATGGGGGACCCTGTGGCTGTCACTCTCTGGGCTCACGGGGGTTCCTTGAAGAGATGGTACCACATGGGGACAGAAGGCCCTGCCATGCCAAGAACCAGCCCCACCTAAGGACAAAGGGTCTCAATAAGCATACAGCCTTCCATGTAGATGAAAAGCAGACAGAACTTTCTGGACCCCCACCTTATGCATACTGATGGCTTTGATCTTCCGTGTGTGAGACCACACAACTGGGCAGGTCAAGGGAAGCCAGGCTGACCTGTTGTCTCATTGAGAATTGCTCATTTCAGAAAATTGTGTCACAAATTGTGACACCGCTGTGGCGCTTGAGATGCCAAGCTGACACAACTATGTCCTTCTATATCTGATGTTCTTATGTGCGCAGTGGTTCAGGCTCCAGGCGCACACCTTTGACATGCTGGCTGAGGTCCCAAGTGTGCACTGATACCATCGATTGCTGGCTCTTTCCTTGTGAGACTAACACCACTCTTTATACTGTATTGCAATGTCCTCTGAAATGAAGGAAGTGTCTGAAAATGTCAAGCAGGGACAGGCTACACCAGCTGCATGCTAGCTTCCGGCTGGTAAGGTGGGCTTGGCTGCAGCATGAGTATGAGCCACCGAGCTCGGGGAACAGGCGTCATTAAGAAACGTCACCCATTCCTTAGAACATGTTCCTCTGGGCGGTTTCCCGGGGCTCGGAGCCTTCCTGGGTGGCTTTCTCTCAAACCCCAGCTTATCTCTGACTTTGACCAAGCCACTCAGCACATGCAAGGTGGGTCTGGGCAGCCAGAAGTGGGACTGTAATGGAAGGAAGATTGCACAGAGCCACCCTCAAGTCATAGGGCGTGGAGCAGTGCCCTATGTTACCCCGCCTGTGCTTCCTTGGAGAAATAAAGGCAGGTGGCAGTTTCTATAGAATAGAGTGTCTGCTTCTTTTACAGTCCCTCTTGCTCCATAACCACACCCACTCCCTGTGTTCTGGAAGGCAGCCACGCTCACCACTGTACCACTAACGCCACACTAAGAACCTTAAAATCTGTGCGGCACCTTTGTGCTCTTTTGTGTCACCAAATTAACTATGTGGTGGGGAGTACCCACACCTACTGTGGGTCTTCTGGGGGTAAGCCCACATCAACTGGGGTTCAGGAGTGCAAGCGAGCCTGAGACAGAACCCCAGGGGTTCTTAACGCTCACAGCCTCAGGCCCAGCTGCAAATCAAGGCCAGATGTATGAAACATTGATATGTGCGATGCTCAGCTGCCATCGGCTAGGGGACTCCACCACACCGGCTAGGACAGAGCCTCATTTAAAACTCTCCGAGCTTCCCTATTGAGGACTGGGTTAGCAGACTAGGACCAGCTTGTGCCATGGGCACAGCAGACATGACTCGGGGGTGCTGGCGCACAGCATAGCTGCAGCGAGCATCACAGATGCTTTCGGGGTTTGGACTTTGACCGGCCTCATCCCAGTCTCGGCAGCATGAGGTGGGCTATACGGTTTGCTGGTGGAAGAGGCAGAGGGGATTCACTAATTGCTGGGCACACAGCTCTCTGCCAGGGCCAGGGCCAGCTTCTCTTTCCTCCCTCGGAGGGAGCTGGCATCACCCAGAGTTCTGTCCAATCCCTTCCACCAGGGCACAACACTGGAAGACCATGGTTTAGGGCTGTTGCAACCAATTCTACGGTCCTTTCCCCCTCCTTGGAAGCCTCCCCTGTCTTCTACTGGACAGAGAGAACACGGAATAGGGTTCAGAGTTCAGTCTTTCCTTGCTCTCAGGACCTTGGCATGAGCCACATGCCCAGTGAGCCATGTGCACACAACTCTCAGTCCCTGGTCAGTATCAACCCGGCCATCTCCATCTCCCCGAACTCAGGCTTGACACATCTCTTCCAATCCCACCATATGCGACTCTGGGAGGACACATGGGAAAAACACATGGAGACACACACAATTCCCTGGACCACGGTTAATGACCCTGGATTTCATGGCAAGAGTCACATCTTCAAATGGAGGCCCACTCACCTCTCATGACTAGAATTTTCAGGGGTGGGATGGGGGGGGCAAGCCATATGGGGAGGCAGGCTAGCTCGCGGGCTGCGGAGTGGGGCTTCACATGCACGCTGACATACAAACACACACTTGCACATCTGAGTAGCTCACCTGTCCACCTGGACTCCTGTGTCTTTCATCTCTGCTTTGGCTGGTCCCCCTCTGTTGACTGTCTTACCCCCGCTGTTGAGGGCGCTCAGCACAGGTTCTATCTCTTTGAGCAGTTCGTCACACTCCCCCCTGTCCTGTTGGTTGGCCTTGGTACTTTTCATTGAAGGGTCAATGGTCAGACCATTGGCCTGGGAGACTGAGCCGGCTTCCTGTCCATTGCCTTGGGCATGCTGAGGCCCATTACCAGGACCTGGGGTCCTGTCTGCTGCTAACGGCTGCTCTTTGCTGGCTGACGGCTGGTGGGACAGATCAACAGCTTTGGTGGGGGGGCCCAGGGGCTGGGTCACCCGGATGGTCTTGGGGGTCCCGTCCCCTGTGAAGGTGGTCTCCAGGTGTGTAGTGAAGCCCTCGGGACCCCTCAGAATGAGGACCACGTGGGTCTCTGAGGCAATGCCCCTAAGTACCTCCAGGGCGCTGTCATAGCTGAGGTCCACCAGAGGCCGGCCATTGACGGCAAGAATAATGTCTCCGGCTTGGATAAGGCCACTCTGCTCCGCGGCACCTCCTCGAATCAGGTCTGAGATGATCACGGGTGGCTTGCTGACCCGTTCCTTCACCAGGAAGCCCAGACCCCCGACTTTGCGTTTGAAGAGACGGACAGAAATGACGTTCGGTTGGATCTGCTGAACCCCAAATGTCTGCTCTTCCATGGTGTCCGTCCGTGTCCTTCAGAAGACCTCCAAGCTGAGATGACTCGGGGACAAGAGCTGGCTGCAGAGTTCCTGTCGTCTCTGTCTTTGACGTCAACTTGGCGTCACCTGCTCATTGCCATTCGACCTTGGGTGGCATGATTTCATGTGTCCCCGCCCCTTCCTTGCTCTCTAAGGAAGCCAGAGTTGACCGGGCAGACGTCAGGAGCAGTGAAGGGAAGTGTCCCTAAGGTCAGGAAGATTGGAGGCTTGCTGCGTCTGCTGACTGTCTAAAGTGACGCACAAGCATGGGCACTAGTCTCTGGGCATCTTGGTCACCAGCTTGTCAGATGAAGATGTGACGGAGGGGCTCCTGGAGCTGAGGGGAAGGAAGAAGAGAGCAGATGAGAAGAGAACGGAAGCGAGTAGAATGGGGGAGCCAATACCTCAGAGCTAGGATGGAAAACACCGAGTCACAGACACCTGGGTTGAAGCCAAGCCTGAAGCATGGCTGGGCTTCCTCAAGAGGACACTCACCTTTTCAAGTTAGCAGCGTCTCCCTGCTTTTATCCCTGCAACCAAAGCCCTCAGGGACCAAAGGCCTCCCTGGGGACACCACAGCCAAGACATCCAGGCAACCCCAGAGACCCAAGGGTAAGAATCTTTCCCACCACCGGAACTGCTGCTCCAACTTGTTACATTGTCCTCTGTGGCCCAGATTTTGTAAACATTTCCCAGCCACATCTCAGAAGCTTCTCTGGCATCAACCTTTGGCCTCCCTACTCTGGAGCCTCACAACCAAGAAAAAAAAAGAAAAACTTACTGGATAGATATATAGATGCTGCCTTCCATCGTGGTACTATCGATGGAACCTTTACAGCCATTTTTCTCATCATTAGCTCATCTCAATTTCAAAAAAATAGGTACTTGGCTACGTTACAAACACTTTCAACACCAAAGAGATAGGTCCACACAAATCTCAAATACATCTGTCCCCCACATAACAACACATGAAAAGCTCCAGTGAGGGAACTTGAGAAAGATGGGTTGTGACCCTCTAGACTTAACAATGGCACAAAACACGCTCAATCGATATTTACCGGTAGAAGAGGAGAAGCCAAAGCGAGGACTAATATGGCAGTTCCTGGCTACTTCTGTTCTCAATAAGTTATTTTTCCTCCTTTGATGTTCACAGAAATGCAGCTCTAAGCCTGGAGCCCCTACTTGAAAGAGGGCTCAATGTCTTGTCCGAGGTCACACTGAGTGGATAGCGGAGAGGTAGGCCAGCTTCCCTTTCAAGTCTGAACTTGGAAAGTTACCTGCTAATTACTCTAGGTGGATGTTTTTGAAGCTCCGCGTTTACTTTTCTAAAAGGCTGTCAATTTTCAGACCATCAGTAGTCCTGGTGTTGGAATTTGGGGGCCAACAGGGCGAAGCTGTAGTGTGGCGGTACTTCAGATCCGACAGGTATAGAGAGTGGTGTCTGTGTGCGTGTGGTGGGGACGCGCCAATGTTTTCACCCATTTCTCTCCTCTCTTCCAAGCCGTGTTTCCACCTGTATCCCTAGACGCCTTACAGCATTCTCATCATGCCTCATACAAGGAGGGACACCTGTCTTCCCCCATGACTAACAAACTGAAGGGCCTTGGTTCGCTCTTAGGAACTTCCCAGGGCCCAGTCAGCTGACGAGAGTGCCGAGTGCCCGCTGCCCCTGAGAACAGGAGTTGACCGCAGAGACCCCACCTGTCTTTCGAGGGAGGTGCCCCTCCCCCAGAGGGCCCCTTGAAGGAGGCTGGTTAGCGTTTTTCGCAGCTTGAATTACATAACCCCACCAGCAGCTCTGTGTGGGCTGGGGAGTAACGAATCAAATCGCTGGCCCAGCCCAGGCTGCCTTCTCCATCTGGCGCTGCTCTGTGTGTGTGTTTCTCTCTGTGTACTCATGCATCGCCCTCACGCTGTGGCATTTCTCTGCTGTGTGTGGCCCGTGTGTCAGCAGACTGAGTATTTTTTAGCATCCTGCTGCCCAAGCTCTGGTTTGTAGGGAAAAGTACCCACGATCACCAATGCCCTTCCTTGTTGAGGAGGATGGCATTGCTCTCTTGCTTCCTTAGCTTTCCGTGAGCCCTCTGGGGACCAAACCACAGCCATAGGTGGAAAGAAAAAGCGTGTCACCACCCTCAACAATGCTCATCTTGGCCTCTGTCTCTCCTGTCTTATAGAAACAAGTGGGGATCTTGCCTGGTGCTAGGATCCATTCTTTCCTCTCTTTGTCCGTCCCTCCCTCCCTTTCTTCATGTGGTACTGGGAGTGGAACCCAGGGATTCCTGTATACTGGACTATATCCCCAACCTCCTTAATTTTTATTTTGAGAAAGGGTCTGATGAAGTTACCCAGGGCTAAATCTGAACTCACTCTGTAGTTCTGGCAGACCTTGAACTTGCAATCCTACTGCCTCAGCTGGGATTACAGGCCCACCTGCTCCTCCCAGCATCCATCACAGTCTTAACCCCACAGTGTTCTGGCTTTCCTTTTCTCTCTAAAGGAACCATTCTATCTCCCATCATGATTCATTTCTTTCCTGACCAGGGTCAGGTTCAACTCTCCTTTGCAGCAAGACATAGGGAGCTTCCTAGGGATACTTATTTGTCCTGCTTTGCAAACATCCAATTCCCCCGGGTTTCTGAGAAACTGGCTAAAGTGCTCCCTGGCTCTGTCTGTGTTTCTGAGTGGGCTCCTTATTTACCCCGAGCCTCATTTCCCTTATCTGTGAAACGGTTTCCCAATTAGCAATCACTCTACTGATTAACCTGGAGAATTCAACAGCACAGAAAACACAGGCCCAGCAATGCCAAGAAGAGGACCAACACTCAGGAAAACTGGCCTCTGGTTGTTATTATGTAACTTGATGATTTCAGCCCCCTAGGTTTAATCAGTGTGGTTCGGTGTGCATGTGTGTGCGCGCTCGTGCATGTGTTTGTGTGTGTTTTCCTCTATCAGTCTGTAAGAGGACTCTTTCCTGCAAATCACACTTGAAGATGCTCACCTGGTTGATGTGGGAGCCTCATCTACAGGGAGATAGAAACTAGGCTGAACGGCCAGCCACATTGCCTACACCTTCTGGAGCTGGGATTCTAAACAAATCTCTCTTTCTCTCTCTCACTCAACACAGTACATACCATGGAAACCACACTTGGAACTGAGCCTCCACTGAGTACTTCACGCATTCTGGGTGTATTTATTTTCTTTTACCTTGCTGTGAGGAAATAAGAGGCTGACTGTCGGAGATGACTGCCAGGGAGAAGGAAGCAGCCAAAACAGGGTGAGTCTGACGCCACCTCCTTGTTGTGTGACCTTGAGTGGGCAGCTTTCCTCCCTGAGCCTCATTTCTACAATGGAAGGAAAGGGGACAGTGGGAGTTCTTGGCTAGGAAGGGTGCCAAGCCCTCCGCATGGGAGTTTCTCTCATTTGATCCTTGCAGCCACAGTAGGAATAAAGAGTCACTCTCATGCTTGCATTGAGGACCAACAGAGTTGCAGATGTGAATGCTCCTTGTTAGTTTTCTGTTGTTTGTTTTAGAAGGTTAAACTTAGGAAGTACTTTTTGTTCGGCTAAGTTATCAACAGGCTCTTATGAGGAAGAGAGGAAAGGAGACTCCAGGGAAGTTTAATAGTCAGTGTTAGCCCCAGTTGGAATGACAATCTCAGACATGACACCCCATCTCTACCCAAAGCACTTCCTCCACTTCGGCTTCACATTTCAGCTCTATTCAGTCATGGTCCCACATGGGGGCTCTCCTCACACATGTATGATGACTGTAAACGGCTTTGGGGTATCATGTGTCTTGGTTTGTTATGATTTTCCAATTCTAGCACTTTCCATTTCTGGACTGGTATGAAGAAGAGCCATTGAGTATCCCTAGTATATAGCTTGTCCATTGAAAAACGGGGACCAGAGGTCTGAAGATTCGGGGGGGCAGGGGCACATTCAGTGTTGTGAACTCAGACTTAAAAACAGGTATCTGAAGTTCCCAGAAAGAAGGTGGGGAGATGAGAAGAGAGAGAGAGAGAGAGAGAGAGAGAGAGAGAATCTTCCTGTTACAAGTTTACAGGCTGAAGGACTCAACCTTGAGAACATGAAGAGTTAGAATGTTGCAGATCAGAGTCAAATCATCTCTTTGGTGCCTTTGAAAGTTGCCTATTGCCCACCCCTGTGTCAGGGGAAAAAATGTGCTTATGACTATCAAAACTTGTATTCTTATTTGGCCAATAGCGCCACCGATCCAAAAGCTAAAGACGTCACCTGACGTTACATAACCCTCCAGCAAAGTCTCCCCAGCTTTGCTGGGACTGCCCACCTGTGTCCCCACTAATGAGCCTGGTAAACACTCTCAGGCTCTTCTGCTGTGTGGTGAATAAAATCTCAGGTAGCTGCTTTCACAGAAGAACATGGGATTTGGGGGACATGAATCTCTGTCCCCAAGCTGTGGTCACTCATATTTGGCTCCAAAATAAACTCTCTCTTACTCCCTTTGGGCGAGGATTGTGTTTCTGAGCTGACCAGTCACGTGAGATGGTGGGGTGGCCAGGTGGCCCCGGAATGGCAGCTGCTCATGGTAGGTTTGGCTTTGGCTGCTCATGGTATATTTGGCTACGGGATTCTGAAAGAGTCCAGCTGCACCTTGGCCTTCAAAGACTTGTATGAGAAGATCTCAAAACATGTCAAAACTTTTTTTTTTTCTGGATTAGGTTTTTACCAGGCTGGTGTTGACCTCATGACCCCCTCAAATGACGGCTTTCCAAGGGCTAGGACTACCACGTTAATAAATTTAAACCCTCTCTCTCACCCTTTAATAAGTTTTTCCAGTGTGATTACCACAAAGCTGACCACTTTACCAGAGCTCTTACTGCACTGTTTCCAGACGATGTGGGTCTAACCTATGACTATTGGGCCAGTGAGATGGCTCAGTAGGTAAAAGCACTTGTCACCAAGCCTGATGACCGGAGTTCAGTCCCCACATCCCATAAAGTGGGAGGAGACAGACCCCTGTAAGTTGTCCTCTGACCCCCACATGTGGCTGTGGCAAGCATGCCCACCCAAAGAATAAATAAATGTCACTTAGGTCCCTGGAGTCTGTCCTCCCTCTTGTCCCTTAAGAGTCAACTGGAGACTTAGCTGGGAACAGGCATGGGAGAGAAAAACCCATCATTTCACAGGAGAGGTTAGAAGAGGATGTGTCCTAGATTAACAGTGTCTAGTGCCTGGAACCCTGCCCTCTAGGTGTCTGATGAAACCTCACATCTACCCTTAAGGAGTATGTTTCAGAGAACAAGATGGGTATCTACAGATCAGAAAGGAGCCACCGCACGTGCTGTCAGGTGA